CTCTTAACCATAAGGAGTGCGACTGTTAGCTACTCGGGGGGCGCGCGGCTGCAGCGGCGGCGGCGCCGCGCGTGAGGGGCCTCCTCAGGCCGAGCGGGCGCGGCGAGCGGCCGGGCTAGCGCAGCCAACATGTCGGATACCAAGGTAAAAGTTGCCGTCCGGGTCCGGCCCATGAACCGACGAGGTGAGGAGCTTTTCGCTCTTTTTTATTTCTGCTCGGGCTGAGGGCGGGGGCAACTTTGGAAACTGCGGGGCCGGGACGGCGAGAGCGCGGCCGGGGCGGAGGCGGCGTCCGCGCTGGCCGTGGTGCCCGGGGCGCCGTCTCCAGGCTCGGCAGCCTTCAGGGACGGAGCCCCGTGCGGCGCGGATGGAGGGCGGGCGGGCTGGAGGCGCGGATGCTGGACTTTGCAACGTCCCTTTCTCTCTGTGCTTTCAGAACTGGAACTGAACACCAAGTGCGTGGTGGAGATGGAAGGGAATCAAACGGTCCTGCACCCTCCTCCTGCTAACACCAAACAGGGAGAAAGGTAAAGCGGGTTCTCAGAGGGCGGCTGGGAGGATCCAGCCTCTCGGGGTCCTGCAAGTTTGAGCCAGGAAAATGGGAGTGCTCTTTCCTATTGTTAGGAGGATGGCTTCAAGTTTGTCGCCCGCTCCTGTTTGAAGCTGTTGCAAGTCCAAGTTCCTCTCCTCCCTCGCCCGCCTTCCTCTCCATCTAGAGCGGCGGCAGGCAGGGCACCCTGGCCACAGCCAGCACCAGTCAGCTGAGTCCGGGCGGGCTGCGAGGCACCCGGGAGGGAGAGGGCCGGATGGGACCCTATAGGTGATTCGTCCAGCCGCCACATTTTACAGACAGGAAAACTGAGGCCCGAGGCCGGCAGGTGACCAGCCCACGTCCTCATTGTTCGTGGAACCCAGTGCCCGGGATTCTTTTCGTCACTGCAGCGTTTGTTTCCTTTGGCAGAATTGTTTAGGGACAGTATGTGTAAAATGGGAGGAAAAAATAGAGCAAGAGTCTTGTACGATGCAGACTCAGGCTGGGCTAGTTAACACCTATTTTAGTTGTTGTTGCTGAGTTGAGATAATGCCTCAATGTAATGCGCGAATTTTGATTTTCAAAGAAACAAAAGTAGGGCCCTGAACTGTATAGACACTGAGGGATGTTTAAAAAGGGGCTGTATTTACTAGATGGCAACATATTTGCATTTGAAAAGTGGTAACTGTTGGATCCTTATTATGTTCCATGCAGCAGTATGGGATAATGCCCCAAAATAATTTGAATATTTGGCATTTTTCTAGTAAGCCTCTGAGAAGAAATCGGTTGGAATTCATTCAATATAATAATGCAGTAGGTTGTGAATATATATGTGTGAAAAAACGGGATGGTTTACAAAATTAATTTTCATTGGAAATGAGTATGAGTTTTTGTTTCCAAAAATCACCTGTTGATCGATGGAATACAATTTAGTGAATTTCGTTCTTCAGAGATTTTCACTGAAGAGAGACTCTGAGGTAGGGTTTGTTACATTATTGCTTAGAGAAGCGATGCCTCCATTCTATAATGTGTGGTGTTCAAGCTCAGTTTTGCCAAATTTGGGGAAAGAAATCATGAGGAGATAAGATTGGAAATTCTTTGCTTTTCGTATTGAGCATAGCAGTTTTTATCCAGTTTGCAAACATTCTGCTACCTTTAGCAGATTCTAGTGGTGATACTAAATAGCTAAGCTATATTTAAAATGTTGTGTTTAACACTGAATGTAGTGTTTATTGTACATTGTACTGAATGTTGTTTAGTAATGGATGTATTTTTAGATGCATTTATAGCAGTGTAGATAGTATGGTATATTTCATGGTGATAGTAAGTCAACTCATTGAGTACATTAAATATTTACAGATTAAATTAGATGCCCATATCACCAACGAATGTACCGCCCCAGCCCCCCGCAAACTGGATATCGTTATGTTGTTTTGGGAAAAAATTCTATTGGGTCAGATTCTTGAAAGCAGTCTGGGGGAACAGGTAGAATATTTTTTAGCTCCTGTCGTGTAGCTGCTGCTATTTTTCCTTGCTGACTTGGCACCTGCTCCTTGTCACTCTTAACCATAAGGAGTGCGACTGTTAGCTACTGTTTAATGACATGAAGTGTTGTCATTTGTGAAGAGAAACAGATTTGATTTTGTGGAATTTGGATACAATCTATAACTGTGGACAGTTGGTTCCAAATGCTAAGTAATCAGTTGATCATTTTTTGGGCTGAACCACGTTAGTTACTAATCAGGATCTTTTAGGTAAAGATTTGAAGGGTGATTTTGGGATCTATTCATCTGCTTACTTACTGTGATAGTCCCTTATCTGGAGTTATAAAAATAGCATTGAAATATGGGTACTCTCATGTTTTGTCCTTCTGACAGATCTAATTCTTTGAGTAGCAGATGAGCTTTCCATGGGATTCTGTCTGAGTACCGGTCATTTCGTTTACAGACAAACTGAGGAGTCAACACAACAGTGCTCCTTGTACATTAGGATTACTGTCTTTGCACAGATGAAGACACCAAATGCATTTTTATTTTCATTATGCAGCTTGGTTTCATATTTCTCCACAGACTTTTCCCTTAAAGTAACAGTGCATTTAAAAATAGAAACAATTCCTCCCTTGGGTTCTGGGTTGATTAATTGCAGCAATGCTTCATGCTATGTTTGCAATTCATTTCTGTCATTGGTTTTTAGATAGTGCTCAGGGCAGGGCAAAGGTGAAGAGTAGAATACTGAGAATGTTATTATTTTTCATACCTACAAGTCCAAGGTTTGAAGTGTAAGAGGTCTTTAAATGCATATTGGCAGACCTGTGTCGAATTGAGAATTACTGTTTTTCTGAAAGTTGCAAGAAATTACCAATGATTAACCATGGATAGAAATTCAAGGTTAGTGGGTGAAAGTTTTCAGTCTTACCAGTAAAAGCAAGTGAGAGTGCACTGATGTCTAGGGAAAACAAACAAACAGACAAACAGATGGGATCAACGTTCATGATTTCCCCATTTACAAAACCAAAGCCAACAGTGTGTAGCAAGGACTAAAAGATCAGAGGATCTCTGAGGTTAAAGATGTTTGTTTTGTTGCTGAAATTCTAGTATTGTAATACATTGCATAGGTCCAGGTTAGTAGTTGCTATGTATACTGATCACCATTCTGAAACATTAAGACATATGAATTTGTTTCTTAAAATATCATTGCATTGCTCTCCAGGAGACAAGAAGTTCAGATCATTTCAATACCATGCTCAGCATAGGGGATTCTAAGATACTTGTGGATCTAGTACCTACACCAGAGTCACTCACCTTGGAGAGATAGGGGAGAGAGAGGAAAAAAATAGTTAAAATACAACGTGGTAAATTACACTGGCGTATACTTTTGCCATTTCCTGAACCACATAATTTCGAAATTTTCTGTTTCCTCTTCTTTCTCTCCCTTGAGGCTGTGAACTCCCTGAAGGCAGGTACCTTGTCCTACTTCTCTTTATGCCTCATGCTCCTGCATACTGGCACTTAGCAAGGGCTTAGCAAATGTGATGGGAGCATTGAGGAGGGGCTGTGGATGCTACCCAAGGTCCTGGCAACTTGCCAAGACAGGTGGTGTTTGTGTGGTCTTATGGATGCTGAGAGTACAGGTTCACTTTTGCAAGATGAGGAGAGAGTCCTTTGGCAATGAAAGTGAAAGCATACCTGCCACACGTTGCTTCTGGGTGATTGTACGTGTGTGAGTGAGGGTGTGGAGTACGATTCAGAAGCAAGGCAGTTCTGGACTGGATGAGTGGCTCACACCTGTAATCCCAGCACTTTGGGAGGCTAGGGTGGGTGGACCACTTGAGGCCAGGAGTTCGAGACGACCCTGGCCAACATGGTGAAACCCTGTCTCTCCTAAAAATATGAAAATTAGCCGAGTGTGGTGGAGCATACCTGTAATCTCAGCTGCCTGGGAGCCTAAGGCGGGAGAATCGCCTGAACCTTGGAGGTGGAGGTTGCCATGAGCCAAGATTGTGCTACTGCACTCTCGCCTGGGCAACTGAGTGAGACTGCATCTCAAAAAACAAAACAAAACAAAACAGAACAGCAAGACAGTTCTGGGGGTGGGGTGGGTGTGGGTGAAGGGATGGAGTAGGATGAAGGGAGCAATGGAATGAGAATCCCTAACTTGCTATAAAGGCTGACATACACAGTGAAACATCTCCCTCTTCACTCCTGCTGTCATCCCTACTTTGCCCATTTCTTCACCTCTGTGAAAATGGGTAGCCACTGTCACTTAGTTCTCATGCCTTTTTTTCCATATATATGTGTGCCTTTTTAATACACACAACTATGTACACAAATAAGTATCTTATTTATATATATTTTAAGAAATATCTTTGGTATCTTTCTTTTTTTTTTTTGAGACGGAGTCTTGCACTGTTGCCTGGGCTGGAGGGCAGTGGCGCAATCTCAGCTCACTGCAACCTCTGCCTCCCGGGTTCAAGCGATTTTCCTGCCTTAGTCTCCCAAGTAGCTGGGATTACAGGCGACCATCACCACACCCAGCTAATTTTTTTTGTATTTTTAGTAGAGACGGGGTTTCACTATGTTGGCCAGGTTGGTCTCAAACTCCTGACCTCGTGATCCGCCTGCCTGGGCCTCCCAAAGTGCTGGGATTACAGGCATAAACCACCGCACCCGGCTCCCTTTGGAATCTTTCAATACCAGCATATTAAGACTTACTCATTCTTTTTTACATTCAATGTGAATGGTGGTGGTGGCTTTTTAAAATATAGGTGGTTGGCTTATGGGTCTGATCCTCGTGACTTTTAGGATGCTATGCTGTGAAAAGAATACAGTGGAACTTGCTTTCTACAGAAGTTTTGTTCTTAATTATTTTATGTAAGCGAATTGTAAGGTAAGACTCCAAAATAAAGTACGTATCTAACCTACTGTGTAAAAATAAAATGTTGGGCTAAATATGGGCTCTCAGTAGAAGAGCATGAAAGTTTTTAGCTTCCTGTTCATATTTTCCATATGGCAGGATGAACAATACACCTTGCGAATCGTGTGAGGGAGGGTCAGTGGAAGAAAGCTTCCTCTTAATCAACTTTGTATGTATTTTCTAGTTTATTCACCAGCGGTATCCCTTTCTGAACATCTGAAATCCAAAATGCTCCAGATTCCTGGGGGTCAGGCGCAGTGGCTCACACCTGTAATCCCAGCACTTTGGGAGGCCAAGGCAGGCAGATCACCTGAGGTCAGGAGTTTGAGACCAGCCTGGCCAACATGGTGAAACACCGTCGCTACTAAAAAAATAGAAAAGTTTGCTGGGTGTGGTGTTACACACCTGTAATCCCAGCTACTTGGGAGGCTAATGGCAGGAGAACTGCTTGAACCCAGGAGGCGGAGGGTGCGGTGAGCCGAGACTGAGCCATTGCACTCCAGCCTGAGCAGCAACAGGAGCAAAACTCCATCTCAAAAAAAAAAAAAAAAAGAAAAAAAAAAAAAAATTCTCAGTTGGTAG